CCAGGCTGAGCTCAACATGTCCAACCTGGTTCTGATCTCTGGGTTGTCATGTCAGTTTGCTTATTATTATTATTATTATTATTATTATTATTATTATTATTATTATTATTATTAAACATCATAACTTTATTAAATTAAACTGAATTTATCTTAATATTTAATAATAAAATTCATTAAGTTTCTGTTCTGGTTGGTCATTCCTCCATATTTCCCTCAGGTAAGGAATCTCTGGGTCATCAACAGAACCTGGGACCGTCACCATGGTAACCAGGTTCATCCCTCTCACCTGGCGTGCCGAGGCGGTCCTGCCAGGTGGGCTTGTAGTCGTCCAGCGTCAGCAGCAGGATGTACATGGTGAGAGCGAACAGCCCAGCCAGGAACAGATAGAAGACCAGGTAGAAGAGCAGGACCAGGCCTGAGGAAGAGGAGGAGAGGATGAAGGGCAGGACGGGTCAGAACCTGCAGGTACCCCACCCAACTATTTTACCCCCCCTTACGATACTACACCCCCTTTTTACCCTGTTACCACCCAAATACCCCCCTCATCTCCAGCTGCCTCTCTGATCCTCTGATGACCCACATTCAGGGGGGAGGGGCAGGTGTTACCATGACAACAGCATTGGTAGCTACAGGCTAACTAGCTCAACTAGCATCACAAACAACGTCAATCTGTGGGTTACCATAGCAACAAGCAGGTCAGGCGATCCTGAATGACTTAAACCCAGGGATGATGTTCACCTGGACCCGGATACCAGAACCAGAACCGACCCAGAACCTTCACCTGGGTCTGCAGAACCTCACTAGAACACCCAACACCACAGCAAGTCCTGGAACTGGACTGGATCCGGTTCTGGAGAACATCTGGACCTTCTCAGCAGGTTCTGGGCACCATCGGGTCAGAACCTGGTTCCTCTGACAGAACCGGCCTTCAGGTCCACTAAGCCTGTCAGAACCACCAGACCCTGATTCAGTCTCCTCCTCCAGAACCGAAGCCATCGAACAAATCTGCAGGTAGAACTGCATCAGAACTAAGAACCAACCAGAACCAGAACCAGTCTGGATCGGGGACTTGGAGACTCGGTGATGATTGGCTCCAGTTCTTCTGGTCATGTGACTGTTGCCATGGAAACACCCAGCCAGAGGAAAGGTGTCCTCTGGTTCTCCCAGGTTGAAGCGTCCAATCAGAGCGTCCGCTGCTCTAATCCAGATTAACACAGTAGGGGGGGTCAGCCCCAATGCATCATGGGAGATATTATCCTCACAGACAGTTACATAAACCCATCAGAACCAAAACTGGGTCAGGCTGGTCTCTGACCCAAAGGGGCGTGGCCTAATCTGGACCACCACAGGTCAGAGGTCACAGCACAGAGACGCCGAGTCCCAAACCTGTAAACTTCATTAAATGTCTTTCAATTAACTATCAGATATTATTTAATGAAAATAAAACTAATGGAAATAAAACCGTCTCCATGGCAACCAGCAGCACAACAAACATCTGATCAATAAATGAACCAATATTGATTAAAACTGATAATCAATAATCACTGGATTACATCAGTCCTGCTGGTTCTGGTTGGGTCCAATTAGTGGCTACAGCAGAATGTACCGGGCTCTACTGTGGTTCTGATACGATTACTGGGACCAGAACCAGAACCATCAAACGGGCCAACAGCTTCCTGCAGTAAAGCTTGGTGTTGGCAGCATCATGCTGAGGATTCTGGGTCAGTCCAGACCCAACCCGGGTCCAGTGGACCAGTATGAATACAAAAACACCAGAACCAGAACCAGATCTGGTACCAGATAATTGCTAAAACCTGGAGGTCAGTAGAACCAGAAATAATACCAGACCAGCGCCAGGTCACCTGGTACCGGACGAACCCAGCTGATGAACCCGTCCTCCATCAGAACCAACTGATGGAGGACGGGTTCTGATGGAGGACGGGTTCTGGTCCATCAGCTGGTTCTACAACAGTCTGACGTCACAGCGGATCAATGAAGTGATGAAGAGGAGGCTCCTTGGCCTTCATCTCTAATAATTATAGTTCGCGCGGGCGCGCGCACGGCGCCGCGCTCTCACCCCAGCTCGTGGCCGTGCGTCCCAGCAGCTCGTGCGTCCGCGGGTTCCAGAAAAAGTCCCGCCAATCGCTGGAGGCGCGGCGGGAATCCTCCTTTGATCCGGACATGACGCTGAGGATGAGGAGGATGAAGATGCGGCGAGGATCGATCGGCGAGGATGAGGAGGGTGATGGAGGTGATGATGAAGGACACAGAGACGCTGCGTTCAGTCCCGAAGCGGTGACGTCATCGGGCCAATCACGGAGCGGCTGTCATCGAGGCCCCGCCCCCCGAGGCTGATTCACTATGACGTAAAGGAGAGACGTTTCTCCTCGCGCTGCCTGAGGTACGTGATGACGTCCAAGATTCCTGTTGCCCCTAAAGAAAATGCTGAGGTGTTTGACGGGATCCCCAGAGGATCATAAAGGTTCGATCAGAACCAATCAATATAAACTCCATTTATATCGATTATTGTCCTTTTATGAGTAAGAAAACAACAAACTGTTAATAAATATTTTATTAAAACACATTGTTTGTATATTTTATTGGTTCAACATTTTTTTAAATATAAATTGGAAGTGAACTTGGTTGCTCCTAAAAAATACTGAATAAATAATAAAGTAAAATAAATTTCTTATAAAATTATTCATAATGTTAATCCAGTTAAAACACTTTTGATAAAAATATATAAATGATATCTGGACCCTTTGTGTACTTTCTGTAAAAAATCCTGAAGAAAAGCTGATTCATCTTTTTTGGGTTTGTTGTTATAATAGAATATTAGAATAATAATGTTAGTTTTCTTTCATAAAAATATCAGCATCACTTTAACAGATCAGGATGTTTTTGTTTGGGATGGAGAAATGAGAACTGGTCAAAACAGAATGTTTATATGTTGTTAACATCTTTATTTATGGTAAATATTATATTCACACCTCCAAATATTTAGAACAAAAGCCTAATTTACAGATTTTATTTTCTATTAATATAAAATCAGAGGTCACGCTACACATTTTTGTTCTCTGTCATCTTGACCGACAGCATTAAAACAAATCAGTCGTGTTTTTTTACTACCCGTCAAATTATTGATGTCATATTAACATTTAGCTCTTTAGCTGCGTTTTAGTTAATATTCAGCTAGTTGAATCCAGACCCCATCACATGTAAAGCAGATGAACTTTTTCTCTGTGCTGACAAAAAACACTGATGTGGCCCCAATAACTGAAATAAATGGATTAACACAAGATTGAAAACTCTTTAGTTTTATCTGGTCTGTAATGGAGACTTGAATTAAATCCACCATTTCTACCAGAGGTTTGTGATGAGCTTCCTAACCAGACGCTCCAAAGTGTCCGGTCCATCACTCTTCAGCTCCGGTCAGAAAGACACATTTAGTTCAGAGACCATGAGATGATATTCAGAAATGATTATTTATTGATTTATTTACGATGAACTCTTTGCCATGTGATGTTGTCTCCCTCAGGACAACATGAAAAAAGGGGCGGGGCTAAGGGCCGCAATCAATTTAAAGACAATACCACAGAAGAAGAAATATAAAGGAGGGGCTTCCGATCTTAACGTAACACGGTTAAAACAATGACAGAGTCAGATAAGGAACAATACAAATAACAAAAAAAAAGACATTTTGTGTATTAATAACAAAAGAGAAATACAATCAGGTTACACTTGATGTTGTATCTGTAATTACTAATGTTCTCTGATGTTCCTGTATGATCCTGGATACAAGGCAGGCCACACCTGGTCCGGTGATGGCAGGTCACATCTTGGCTAACCCATCCAGAAACATTTCACAACATCTGATAAAACATGTTAATAAATAAAACTTTAATCATTTTATTAGAAAGACATCAGGAAGAAATTCAGCAAATGATCGACTCTGAGTCAGTAAATGGATCCAGAACCAGAACCAGGACTAGTTCTGGTTCTGCTGTGTTTAAATGCCTGGTTCAGTTTAATTTCTGCTGCAGTGTGATTTTAATATTTCCTCAGTTATCAGAGAAGTTATGATATTTTCCTCAGCAGATGGCTGAGATGGCTTTGTGTAATGGTAAATAAAACCTTTTTTTATTCACAAACTCCGGACGTCTTCTGTTCCTGATCCCAGCAACATTAGATTAGACTCTATTAGGAGTAACTTCACATATAATGATTATACAACATGCTGTGCCTGTAAGAGCATTTAATTAAAAGTAATAATTAATCTAGGTGTGCTGTGGTGATGCAGGGGTTCAGCACAACCCACATATGGAGGCCTCAGTCCTCGAAACGTCGCAGGTTCGATTCCCGACCTCTCATTACCCACTTTCCTGTTAATTAACTATCAAATAAAGGCCAGTAGAGCCAATAAGAAATAAAAGTAATAATTAATCTGAGAAGCTATAATATCTTCTTAATATCCATCAGTGAGTTTATTCACACCTGATTCAACTCTTTAACTCTTCTACCTCCTGTATTAATTAATTATTAGGGTATTAATCACCTACAGGTAACATTTTTAATCTATAAATGTGTCGTAAAAATTCTTCTGGTTCTTTAAAAAATTATTTGAATTGATTCTCAAGCTTTTTTAACTGTGATTTTGTCAAAGGTTAGATTTTACTGGGACATAAATCAGGTTTTTATTTAATGTAGAAAATGTTTAAGGTTGTTTAATATTTTTAAATGAACTTTTCATTATACTTTAATTTTGAAAATCTTTGATCATAGTAATTTTTGTCTGTCAATTTTTTAATAAAAAAGTAAATAAAATCTCATTCCTGCCTTCAGACTCCCTGCTGAATCTGATTGGAGGAAACAGTCTTAACCCCGCCCACACCGCGCCGCCCACCGCTTCGGTGAGTAATGGGGCGGAGCTTGAGAAACCGTGTCACCGTGCACGCGCTTGACTCACGCTCGTGCACGTCCCCGCCTCTTTCTGTTTGCAGCTGCCAGAGCTGATTGACCAATAGGAACACACCCAGGGATCCGTCCTGTGCGCATGCGTAGAGCCAGGAGCAGCGTGTGGAAAGTTTGTGATGAAAGTTTGGAGAGTTACAGTTCAGTAGGAGAAAAGGAGGAAGAGGAGGAGGAAGAAGAGGAGAAATAGGAAAAAGAGAAGCTCTTTATCTCCCGCTGAAGCTCCGACCCGCCGCGGCTCCTCTCCGCTCCCCAGGCCGCCCTCAGCTGTTCCTCCCCCGGCATGAAGATCCAGTTCGCCCCGCTGAACGTCCCGCTGCGGAGGCGGCTGCAGACCGCCGCGGTGCTGCAGTGGGTCTTCTCCTTCCTGGCTCTGGGTGAGACTGGTTCTACTGGTTTTACTGGTGGTGTTACTGGCTCTGTGTAAGTATGCTGGACCAACTCTGATGGTTCTACTGGGTCTCTCCTTCCTGGCACTGGGTATGTATGGCTGGGTGGTACTGTTGGTACTGGTTCTACTGGGTCTTCAAGAATCTACTGTTTCAGTTGGGTCTACTGGTTTTTCTAACCAATAGACTCTCCCAGTAAGCAGAGCATGTAGGAGGTTCTGATCCATCTGCTGGAGGTGAAAGTGAAGAAAAGTTCTGACTGGTTCTGGTTCTGGTCTGGACGTTCTGAAGGGAACCAGCTGGACCGGTACCGGTACCGCTGGTACCGCTCTAAGTTCTGCTCAGAGCTCCAGGATGAATCTAAACGCTGATCGACCATCAGATGGATCTGATCTGTGATCAATCCTCCATCAGAGCCAAAGCTCCTCAGGTAGCGGCTCACCTGGATCAGCTGCTGATGGACCTGATCGTCTCCTGATCAGAACCGAACCTGGTGGATCCATCTGCTGATCAGCCTGTTTTCTCTCCAGTCAGAATGAAATGAGCCTCAGATGCTTTCAGACGATGAGACAAACTGAGGAAGTTATTATTTACATTGGAGTGAAGTTTTACCTTCCTTTAGTTTCTTTATTTTTCAGGTTATTGTCTGAGGATAAATGTGGTTCAGTTTAACCCAGTGTTTCCCAGCCTGGTCCTCCAGGCTCACTGCCCTGCATGTTTTAGAAATGTTCCTGCTTTAATCCACCTCATTCAGCTGATTGCAGTTCAGCAAAGACCTGCTAATTGAAACCACCTGGATTGAAGGAAACACCTAAAACATGCAGGCAGTGTATAAAATATTAAAATCATAAAATCATCTGGTTTGATTCTTATGGTCTAAATAACTGAATCAGTGGATTTATGTGAGTTTTGACTCTTTGTAGTTTATTATTGTTCACAGATAAAGTTTGTTTGGCTGCTGCTCATTTTCACAGCAGGGAAAAAGTTTGAGAATATTTATGTAAACTTTGACACAAAGTTAATTTTTATACATTCTGACTGGTGTGTAAAATATGGAGCTGCATGTTTTAGACATGAGGCCTTAGATGTTTCGGGTTGACCAAGCAGAAACACCAGAACCATCAGAACCTGGTTCAGCCAGTAGAACTCTGGCCTGACCCAGCGGGTTGGTTCTGCCCGGTCCAGTTACTCATCCCGTCTCTGTTCCAGCCCAGTTCTGCCTGGCCGCCTTCGTCCTGCTGGCCGTCTCTGATTGGTGGATCGCTGCTCTGCTCTATGCTGGTTGGCTGTGGCTGGACTGGGACACGCCCACCAGCGGAGGCCGGCGCTGCCATTGGGTCAGGAAGTGGAGCGTGTGGCGCCACTTCAGGGACTACTTCCCCCTGGAGGTGAGACCAGAACCGACCCACAGGATATTGATTATTGATTGATTGATCACTGATTGATGTCTCTGTAGCTGGTGAAGACGGTCGATCTGGACCCGACCCAGAACTACATCTTTGGGTTCCATCCCCATGGTGAGACTCTCAGTGCTGCTGGTTCTGACCCAGTTCTCTCCACCACTGGTTCTGGTTCTGACCCGGTTCTCTCTCCAGGGGTTCTGGTGGCCGGGGCGTTCGGGAACTTTTGCACGGAGGCGACCGGGTTCTCCCGCCTGTTTCCGGGCCTGCGGTCCCACCTGCTCATGCTGCCGTTCTGGTTCCGAGTGCCGTTCTTCAGGGATTACATCATGTGTGGAGGTGAGTGAGGTTCTACCGGGTCGGGCAGCAGAAGGTCCGATTCCAGCAGAACCAGCAGTTCAGATTTTAATATTCAAAACAGGAAACAGGAAGTAACTGTGAGTACCGGTTCCGTTTACTGGACTCAAGTAGTCTGTCTGTAAATGGGTCGAGGTTCTGGTAGAACCCAGCAGATCGGACCTGGAGCAGAACCAGGATCATGATCATCATTCCTGTGTTTTTCTGACTACCTGCTAGCTTATCGTTAGCTTCCCCCACTCAGACTCTCAATCACACCTGCATGAACATTTTCCCTCCTTTTTACCTGCAGCAGCAGCAGATAATCTGAACTCTTCATCAACCTGGTCTCTCTCATCGTCAGCCTCCTCTGACGACAATAAAACCCCTGAATCAATAATTCTTTCTCCTTCTCCTTTACTGAATCTGCTCCAACGGTCAAAGTTTGTGTGGTTAACATATCAGTTAGTTTGACACATTTTTCTGAATGGACCTATGCTCTTTTGTTGTAGTTTATCCTCTCACTTTTCTCGGATTCCGGTTAGCAGCTAACCGCGTTAGCAGCTGACCGTTAGCAGCTGACCGTTAGCAGCTAACCGCGTTAGCAGCTGACCGTTAGTTGAAATGGCTCTTATTTATAATGTCAGAGGAGGGGGGGCAGGCCAAGGAGAACCGAGAGATTTTATTGGATAAGCCCAATTTCCATCAATAAAATCAGCCAATGGCTGCCACAGTTGATAAAAATTTCATTTAAATATATTTGTTGTTAAATTATGACGGCGTCGGGCCGCCAGATATGGACAGTAAATGCATCAGTCTGTTGTTCAAACTGAATGCAGATTTTTTCCTGATCATATTTTCAACCCGCCACAGTTCAGCTGCGTTATTTTAATTTACTCATTACTTTATACTTTTACCTGCATTTGGCCAGTGGGGGGCGCTAATTTCCACCCTTTGATTCATTACTTTGTTACTGAATGATGTACAGATCAATAATCCACTGATCAGGTTCTGATGAGGTTCTGGTTCAGAAACAAAAACTTCTTTCATAATTTAAAATACAGTTTTGAGTCATCCAGGTTTTAATGTCTAATCTACTAACAGGTTGGATTAATCTGGATTACAGATGAATCTGAGTATCTTCAGAACCAAGAGGAACCACTGGAGTCCAGACTGATTGGACCCAGATGTTAGAACCAGCCAGATTCTGGGTCTGGACTTTGGTTTTGAACCTGGATCAGCTCAGCTGGTTCCCTCTGCTCCAGATTACAACAAACTTTATCAGTGACCTTTGACCTCTGTTGCACTGCACCAGGGGGAGTTGGGCCATCTGAGCAGCTTCATCAGAACCACCGGGTCCAAACCATCTGAAGTGAAACTGGACCATAGGTCACAGCAGCAGGAGAGGGATGGGGAGGGTACAGGTTCTCTGATTGGCTGGCTGAGCTCTGTGAGGTCACATGGGGTCAGCGAGGGTCAAGGGTCATAGTTACATGTGGTGATCAGGGAGACCAGCTGCCAGGTAGACACTGGCATCAGGTCTGCTGCCACCTGGTGGCAACACGGAGAACTGCTGCCACCTGGTGGCAACACGGAGAACTGCTGCCACCTGGTGGCAACACGGAGAACTGCTGCCACCTGGTGGCAACACGGAGAACTGCTGCCACCTGGTGGCAACACGGAGAACTGCTGCCACCTGGTGGCTGGATGTGGAAATGCAGCAGCTTGATGTTGGCCTGAGTTTCCTCTGTGCAGCAGAAACTCTTGATCCCATCTAAATCTTCTCCAGAGTCCATCAGGTGGCCCAGAACCCAGCAGAACCTCCTGACCGGCCCGGTCAGCCTCTTCCTGTCAGAACAGGAACCTGGTGGCTCTTTGGTTAAACTGGTAGCTATCAGCTTCACTAGAGAGCCACTAGAGCTGGTTACCAACTGATAACTGGTAAAGCTAGCTCTATCAGATTTACCAGAGAGTCTCTACTGCAGGGGTCCCCAAACTTTTCCCTGTGAGGGCCACATAACTTTCCCCTTCTCTGCTGGCGACCGGAGTCAGTTTGTAACAGAAAAAGTGACGACTGCAGGAGCCTAAATGTAAAAATGTATTGTTTTCCAGAAAGCACAATCAAATAACCCTCTCTGGGTTCTTCACAGAAAAAATCCAGGAAGGATTATAGAGCTTTGGAGCTGACCTCACAGCGTGTGACGTTTACGTCGCTCGGCACCATGTTTGCAGCCCACAGACCAAAACTAACTAGTCAGAACAAAAGAGTTTTCATTGTATTACCGACCGCAGCAAAGTTGTTTTGCAAATTGGTTACTGGATATTCGCCCTCCGCGGAGTAAGGGACGTTCAGCTCAAGGTTGATCCGATTTATGAACGCCAATTTCGGCCAGCTGTTCTCTACCGATGCCTCCTGAAGCGCATCAGAGGTTCACATAGAGACCGTCAATTTCCAAACACTCCTGTAAATAAATGCCTTGTCTTGTGACCAACTAATACAAAACGTGGTAGTTCATGCTATTACACGAGGCACACTATCCTCCATAGTCATACTTCATATTCAATATTTTAAATATTAAATGTTTTCTTCAATAGCTTCCAAATCGTGTCCCCCATTAACTGAAAATCTGAGTGAAATTATTCTACTAGACCATATAGATGAGGCATATTTTTATTTCAGTTTGACCCTTTTTATTTTTTAACCAAATTTATATTTTAAAAATATATTTTTAAAAAAGTTCATAAAATGTATTACCTCAGATGATAAGCACCTTCTAGGACAGGATCTATTTCATTACATGTTTACTTACCTGAAAGATGTTTACAACAAATATTTACTTAAAGTGTGATCCATTTCATAAAATCTGTCACCTTTA